ATTTTTTTTATTTTTTTATTTATTTATTTTTTTGTATAAGAATTTTTACTTTCATATACAGAATTCTTTGCCAATTTTTTTTACTTAGTGCAATTGTAATAATATTTGTCTTCTTTATTTGTGAATTAGCTATATATCATACGATTATCTGCAGCTTAAATGAAAATTATTTGCCTTTTTCCATTAATATTGATATTTAAGATAATCCCAGCACATTTCATACACATTCCACACACTCCCGCAGCTCAGTCATTATACGTATATAGTGCACTATATATACGGCTCAAGTGAACTCGTTTAGATTGTCTTCCATGCCAAGTAGTTTCCACTTACTGCAGCCGCCATAAACTGGCCGCCAATTAACTAATTTGCAAAAGCTTCTCCGAGGGGCAATTAAATGTACACGGACCATGGCGCCAGCCGCATGTGTGTTAGTTAGAGATACAGCTGCACACACATAAACACACACACACCCTCACACTTACACAATTGTAGATAATTAACTAGGAACTGCAGCCAGTCGCTGCTCTACCTGAAAATGTCAAATGTCAGACGAACTGATAATTTTGTTAATAGTTAGCCCACAGATAAAACTTTACAATATACCGGAAATTGTTTGCTCCACTCTAATGGAACTTTAGAATGCCTGGATTTCGAATCGAACTAAGGGAATACAAAAAACTTTGCAGTTGGCTACGCTGACTGTCTAATACTCTTTCAAGGTCAAAAAGTAAATGCTGTCTCACTCCCAATATACCAATAAAGGGACTACAATTTATTAATTGTAATTGACTATACTAGCTGTAAAAGAGAAATATTTCTTCTTTATTTTTTTATAAAAATCATTATGAGCTTTAGAAAATGTTATTTTACAGCTCAAAAAATATCTTTCATATCTCAATCATAGCTTAAATTAAATTTACTCCATATAATTCGTGTCTCAAGATATATCAAACACAACCATATCAAACTGGCAAATCATTACATAATCAGAAATGCCATGAAATGCTAATATGCTCTACTACATTTAACAAACGAGTATAAGAACTAAAGATTATCTATAAAAAAAAAAAAAAAATAATAATAAGAAACTAAGCAAAAGAGAAAAATATTTGGCACACGCTCAGCTCTTTGCCCACTTCAAAGCTATGGAACGGGACGGATCTTGCGGGGTGGCTAGACGAAAGGGGGGGCCTGTGGGGACGTGCGAGTCCAATTGCTTCGTTTCATGTTTTTCCGCAAAGTGGCGCCAAAGTTTATCAACAATTCAACAAATTGAGATAGTTTATTGCACATTATTATGCTCCTATTGTGAATTGCGTGCCAGTTGGAGCCCCTCGGGCAGCCGTCGACCCATCGATAGAAGACATTTGCTCCTCCAGCTCCGCTATAAATAGCTGCTTTTGTATAACTGTGAATGCGAGCTGCGAGTGGCCGACATATGGCCACGAGACCACAAGCTCGAGCACGTGATAATATACCAAATATTGTGGAGTCTGGATAAGTTTCTAGAGCACTATAAATAGATCGGTCAGCTGATTATACGTTTCGATGTTCAATGTAACAGTAAACAAGCGCGACCCAGTCGAATAATTTATATAATATCGGGCCTGGGTACAGACAGTTATAAATGCATTAAAAATTATAATAT